CAGAACTTGACGGAGACAGAAAACAACTATAATTTCATGGCAACCCCAAACCCCAGCAGTGACTGCTCAGACTCAGAGCAGTCCCATTTGAAAGTAAATTCCACAGAGAGCTTCCCAGGGGGTGATCTCCCTGCTTCCCACCCCTTTCACCAGAAGACCAAAACCTTCTTCAGAGGTTACATCTGTCGCCAGGAGACGACAACCTTCTGTGAAGGATGTGTTGTGGGTTCTTCAGTCAACAACCTCCCCACTGTGGAAGAACCAGAGGACACACAAAGTCTAGGAAGATGCACGGACCACAACTCTCACACTGAGGACAACCCCAACCTGGTGTGTGCACCAAATACTGGTGTTGAAGGGGATGAGGACACAGACTCAGACAGCAAAGGAGCAGGAGCTGATCAAATTGTTACTGACAACGACCAGCAGATAAACAAGAATTCAACATTCAGAGGGCAACGGATTGACCACTTGGATGGCTCGCCAGTAACTCAGCTTGTCAGTCCTAAACTCACCCAGGAACAAGCAGCAGAAGAGAGGAACAAGGAGGAAAGAAAGGAGGAAAGCGAAAGTAGTGAGGATGAGGATCAGGAAGCTGATAAACAAATTGAAAATGGTGAAAACCAAGATGAAGCCATGCTAATGGGACCAACTGAACAAGAAAAAAAGGATATGGAGATCAAGAACAACAAAGACATGGAGAGTAATAAAAAAGAGTATGTGGAGCTTTATGCACAAATCCAGGTGTATGAAAGATCTGATGACACCAGGCTACCTGATTCCAATGAGGGCAATGGAAAACAGAACACTGAGAGCCACAAGGAGAAGGAAGAAATACAAATCAATGAAGAACTTCAGGACGCTGATAAACAAAGCCATGGCTATGACAAAGACAATGCCCTCCAGCTCCAAGATCCACCCGAGGAAAACTTCCAGCTGGGCAGCAGATCCCCTCCTCATCCAGCTCAGGTCCTGTGTGAAGAACAGTGTACATGTGAGGACCTGCCTGCCTGTAAACCACCAGAAAATACAGAAGTCACCCAAGTCCCAGACATGTCAGCGATGCTCCCAGAAGATGAACCAGCTGAGGTGAGCACAGAGCTGCCTCCCAGGAGAGGATGGGACAGGACCAGGATACGTGCTAGGTTAGACAGTGTTGGGTCAACACTGCCTTCTGTGAGGCAGGGCTGGACCCCAGGTGTCTGACAGGATCTGCAGGGGGAGGAAGACAGGAAAAAAAGGAGTCAGAGAGGAGATGTAGGGAAAACACCAAGGAGCACTGAAAGACAGATGGAGGGTAGAAAGAAAGACAAAGGCAAATCATTATGTCCACAAACAAACAATAACAAAAAAAGTTTTTGGAGGGTCTCTGCTTCAAGTGTTGACTTTGAAACTGGCCATTTACAGTTGGGCTACTTCTAGTAAAAGGAACTGAGTTCCATAAGTGAGTAAACACTGGCTGCACTGCTGGGAGGTTAGACTTGTCTAACTCATCCT